ATCTATGTTGTATAGTTAATTCATGCTTTCTAGTTTGTCTAACCTATGTTGTATAGTTAATTCATGCTGTATAGTTTGTTTAATCTATGTTGTATAGTTAATTCATGCTTTCTAGTTTGTCTAACCTATGTTGTATAGTTTGTTTATTCCATGCTGTGTAGTTAATTCATATTGTATAGTTTGTTTATTCCATGTTGTATAGTTAATTCATGCTGTGTAGTTTGTTTATTCCATGATGTATAGTTAATTCATGCTGTGTAGTTTGTTTACTCCATGATGTATAGTTAATTCATGTTGTGTAGTTTGTTTAGTCCATGTTGTATAGTTAGGCCATATCTGTGTTGTATAATAGAAAAGTTGATCAAGAAAATTTACACATCCAATTTGTTTAACACCTTTCTGTATTATCAATATACTTGTCACAGATACCATTAGATATGTTAAACACTCTAAAGGCTCATTAATTAATTGTCCTATTTTGTTATTAAAATGTCATATAGAAGATATAAAATGTTTATTCTGTGTGACTTACATATCTTAAATAACATAGAAGCTTATGAAATCTTGTATTCCTACTGTAATACATTTAAGTGGTCTAAAAATGTTTACTTCCAAATTTTTTTTAAAATTCTTATTACAAATAAAAATACTTCAGCTCTTATTTTATAAATTTTATGGTACAGCATATTAAATACATACAAAAATATATCAGTTTAAAAGGTTTTATTAAGAATGTACATGTTTATTTATTGTGACATGAAAAACTTACACAAAAAAGTTGTGTTTCACAATATAGTAAATAGTTATATTAATATCCATAAATTGCCACCCGTAGGTGAGAAAGGAGAACCATTTCCTTTGGAAGAATTAACTGAAATAAAAGGTTACGTCAGGTCAAGAGGCCCTAAAGGTTTTCGTGGAAAGCCTGGTTTGAAGGGAATCAGAGGTAAGAATTTTACTGCCTCATTAACACTCTATTAACATGCTTTGCTTTTGTCATAGTTGCCAATTTCTAGTTTGATAATCTTTAATTTTATTGTCAAAAAACTTGTAAAATAAAAAAAGTTTTTTGTTTGTGTTACTAGGCATATGCCCCTGGGTTTGCTTTATTGGGCTTTTGTCAAACTTTAGCTACGAGCTATAGGGTTGAAGAACTGTAGTGAAAATATTTACTTGTCTGTTATAGTTGTCACTAAACCTTGGATTAACTACTGAATACTATGTACTGTCAGGGGGAATTGCAATGAAAAGACACTTAATCTTGCTAGTCACAATGTATATTTTGGTCACATGCTATAAATTACTGTGTTCTCTGAGGAACTGTATGAAATAGATTCACTTGTTAATCATACTAGTTATTAGTTCCTGAATTCACTTGTGTATAGTTATTGGATATTTTTCCTTTGATTTCTGCATGCAAAAATTATCTGAAAAGATCATGATTTGATGTGTGTCACATTGTTTCAAAGAAACCTTTTAATTAAATGCAACTCTCAACAAAAATTATTTCTGTTTTCTCTTAATAGTAATGAAAAATCTTATATACATGCAAGAAAATATATAAATGTAGATGCTGATATCTATTATTTTAACCAAAATGAGAAAAATTTCCTAAACTGAGCAAAAGCAAGCTGCATTATTTATAACATTGTAAATCATTGTTGTGCTATAGGATTGTTGGTCATGGTATTACTTCTTAGTTTATTGAAGCATGAGAATGGAAATATTGTGTGCCCCCATTCCTGGTGGGACAGCAATAAGTTATGAACTTGTATCACTAAAATTTGGGTTTTGATTCCACATGGTGAATAGAGCAGATAGCTCAATGTGGCTTTGTTGTAAAACAAACAAATAAGGAAAAGCAAATATTGTATTTGTTTAGAGTGACATGTAATTACTGTAGAATTATAATACTTATTATTTTAAAATCAAGTACAACAAAATTTATATCATAATTTGTAAATTTGAAATTATAGACTCAATTTACTATAGTCATTATTTCTTATTTCTTTCAAAAATTTCAAGTGTTGCAAGAAATTCACTTTATGAATTTCAAATTAAACTGATATCATGTACCTTCAGCTAAAAAAACTATTTCAGTGTTCTTGTATTATTAATAATATGTTTCTGTGTTTGCAGGAATTGTGGGTTTTAAAGGCTTTCCAGGGTTGAATGGCTCTGATGGCCGCCAAGGACCACGTGGAAGAGATGGAGCATCGCCTCGTGGTGATACAGGGAGAAAAGGTTATCCTGGTATGATTGGTGAGCCTGGACTTTCTGGAACTCCTGGACTGCCAGGTCGTAGGGGCTCACCAGGTTCCAGTGGAATACCTGGAATAAAGGTAAAGAATATTGTTTAGAAGTTTTCTAACAGACTTCTATCTTAACTGAAGTAGGCCCACACCTTTAACTATACAACATGTTAACTCTAGAAGCCCTAGAATTAACACTTGGATCCATATAGATCACACTGTTTTTTTTCTGTAAATATTTTTGAAAACTATTTATGGAGAGAAATACTTGTAAGTCCATGGCTTTGTTAGTTTCAGGGTCCATAATAATGTATGAATCATATAAAAAAATTAAAACAAAAACCCCATCAATATTACAATTGAGTCAATTAATTACTGGTGGGAATCCCTGTGTTATTTTACAAAGAAAATTAGCGATATTATCAAATGAGTATAGCAAGTTTTTGACATTGAATGTTGTAACAGACAAAAGTATAAAATTACTCAATGTAGTACAATATGTAGACACCATAGGAAGTGAACAATATAAAAACAAGTTGTCAATTTAAGGGTTAACTCCCATAATTTTATTACTGCAACATATTAATTATAATGTAGCAATTGTTAAAATTTTGTTAGGAATAATAAGTTACTTTTTTTAACATAAAGTGTTGAAAAATATTAATTGGACAGTAATAGAAATTCTAAATTGATTTTAATAGTAACTTGTCAATACTAGAATATTTGGTTTTTATTTTTTACTATGTTTATATGTTTCTGGAAAATTCTTGAATCTCATTTCATTGTGTAAAATAATATACCCTTGAATATATATCCACAGCCATTATTTAAGTACTTTATTAAAGTCAGTGGCTTGGTTTATTAGCTCTATCACTAAGGTCAAGAACCATTTGAAATTGTAAAAGTTTTATGTAATTAAGTTTAAAAAATTAAATAACTGATGAGTTGGGTTTCAAATTGAAACATTTGGTAAATAGGTTTTAATTATCTTTATTGATCTGTAGATTCAAGACATCTTTTATTGATATATTTAAAATTTCTACCACAAATATTTTTCATGACAGTCTTGTTTGAGAGTACTTTTAGTGTGAGGTTTTACTAAAGAGTAAAACTTTTTTGTTCTTAAATAAACAATTTTATTTAAGTCGCAACAAAAACCTACATGTAATGAACTAGTTAACATTTACTGGTGTTTATCAGGTCCCATAGTACAGAAATAATGAAACATTTGTAAATCATCTGAAATACGTGGTGTTTGTAATACATTTGAAAAACCTTTAGGGGGCACGAGGATCAGTTGGAGATGAAGGAGTTGAAGGTCCACGTGGATTACGAGGTATACCTGGTCGACAAGGAGATCAAGGAGCCTATGGAACACCTGGATTTTATGGGCAGCCTGGAGAACCCGGTCCAAGGGGAGCTCTAGGACCAAAAGGTAGGAACATTATGTTTGTTACCTTTCATTAATATAAGATTTGAGGAAAAATATGAAAAATGGAGTTAATAAAAGATCCCAGGTTTGAATTTGAACAAGAGGTAAAATTATAGTTCAGTTATTTTTGTTAATCTTTTAGGAGGCCCTTTTAGAGAAGAAATTAATTAAAACCTTTATATTTACATATTTAAAACTAGTTAGACATATTAGATTTGTATAGTATAAAATAACTAAGTGCTGGAACAAATCTTGTAGCGATATACTCAAGAAGAGACTAAATTAATAACATCATTTTTAGCAGGAAAGTTCTGAATCCTATAGTAAAAGACGCCAATTTTTTATGGGAACTTTACTTTGCAGTAAAAAGTATCACATTAGCTGTGATACTTTGTAAGAATTTGAGTGACAATCAGTTTTCCAAATAGGTTCTCCTGGGCGTGAAGGTTTACCTGGTTTAAAAGGAGTAAAAGGAATCCCAGGTGTTGCTGGTGTAGGTAATATAGGTCCTCCTGGGGAGCCTGGGTTCAGAGGTTTTGATGGTAAGTCATGATTTTAATCTAAGAAGTTCTGTTAGGAAAAAGTAAAACATGATAGCAGAAAAACTAGCAATCAACAGAGTATGAAGTGCAAAGATAAATTAGGATTAAGGAAATTTTCAATTAATTATATAAACCAATAGTCTGCTCCTTCATTTATTTGGTGTTACTTACTTCTTGCATGCATTTTAATATGTGATATTAAGATTCGAGGATTAATGTAGAAGATCTGAAACGTTTAATTGGATTTGACCTCACACTCTTCAGTTAATCCTTTTGTAAACAAGGATTTACCTGTTGGGAATAAAAAAAGTCATCTGGTGACTAGTAAGTAAAATCTGATTAGATCTTGTGAAGGTTTAACTAGTATGTCTATCACATCTTTTCATTATAGATAAGGACTTGTTATTCAGTTGTTGTCTTAATTGAAAAATGGTTGTTTTTATTTTCCTTTATACAAAATATTTCATAAAATTATGTACCTTATACTGAAGATATTTGAGTCAAACAGTTTGTTCACTTTTGGTATTTCCACCAGAAAGATTGATACAGCTGTTTTTGTTTTAACATTTGAAGTTTGTTAATGTAATGTTTGTCGTAGTAGGTTTAATGCAGGAGTTTTAAATTAGCCTTTATGAAAAACTTTTTTTTTAACTTAGGCTGCATCTGTGCATATAATTGCTTTACTTTTAATACTCTCACCTATTATTTGTACTTTTTGATCTCCATAGATTTAATGTTGTGATATCCATGATTATAAACTTTAAGAGATTGTTTTGTTTATTCTTGGCTGGTTGATTATAATGGTAATTTATATTTAACAATTTGTCTACTAGCATTTATTTAACATAAAATGGATATTTGAGTAAGAAATTCTTATTTTTAGAAAAATAGACTAATATACACATAGTAGACTATCTAGTCTCTGCTGAATTGATCCAATAATGTAACAGCTTGTAATATCATAAACTAGATGTACACCATTTACTATAGATTAACTATATATTAACTATAGATTTTTGTTTGTAAAAAAAAGAAAGATACTAAATTATAAACAAGGATTTGTTTCAAGAGAGAAACCTACAATAAACAAACATCAAAAACTCAAGTAAAATTTCCCAAATAATTTTATTTTTAAGCCAAAAGTTAAGGACATGAGTAAGTGTCCTTTTAATAATTTAACATTTTTCTGTATAAATATGATTTAGTGTGTGAAGATTAGGTTAAAATCCAAAGAGCCCATCAAGAGACATTCTTCTCTACTAGTATTTTTCTATCAATGAAATTTGTAGGTGAAAGGGGAGAAAGAGGTTATAGGGGACCAGCTGGACAGATTGGACTACCTGGACTAAAAGGAAATATAGGTCTTCCTGGAGAACCGGGGTTGCCAGGTGTTCCAGGAAAAAAAGGGGTTCCAGGTTCTCCTGGACTCCCTGGAAAAGATGGGTTAAATGGACCAAGAGGTAGGTGAAAATATCTAATATTTCAAATTACCATTATTGGTTCTTTTTTTTTTAATTTATCATGTAATTTGCTGTTTTCTTTCCAGTTAATGATGTGCCATTCACTGGTATTTTGATAGGTAGATCTTAGTTGAAAACCCATTGAATAGATATTATGGTCTGATTTACCCCTAACTACGTTATACATATTAGCTTGCCAACCACTTGTGTGCAGGTGCTTGGTTGGCTATGTTTGAATTCAGCCCATTCCTGCAACACTTGGGGCCCTTTTGCCTCTCAGGCCTGGCATGACCTGGTTGGTTAGAGCGCTCGACCCTCAATCTGGGGGCACAGGTTCGAATACCTGTCACCTAAAATGCTTGCCCTTTCAGCTGTGGGGGTATTATAATGTGACAGTCAATTCCACTCTTCATTGGTAAATGAGTAGCCCAAGAGTTGGTGGTAGGTGGTATTGACTAGCTAGCTGCCTTCCCTCTAGTCTATCACTGCTAAATTGGGGATGGCTAGTGTAGATAGCTTTTGTGTAGCGTTATGCAAAATTTTGCCTCTTCTCCCCCTTTACATTCTAGGTAAAAAGTATACTCTGGTTGAGATGAGATGCAGTCTCCCATGAGTGTGCCCCTGCCATTGGGTGTCACACTCCAAGGGCTTTCCCTTTGGGCACTTTGTGAAGGGTTAAATGTTTTACCATCCTCTCCACCAATCCAACATGGAATTCTAGCCGTCCTATGCATGAAGGTGAGGAAAATGTATTTCCAATAAACACCTTTGCACATATACGCACCTGACCTTCCCAATTCAGGTGCACCTTTTATTATTGCTTTATCTAAGAATGAGATCTTGTGTGCATATGCTTAGGAAGACCCACTGCAAATGGAGGTTGTTTCACCCTCCTATTGGTGGAGGGCTATTGTCGCATGATGACATCATCATGTTCCAGCTCAGCTAATGTTAAACATGTGAAATTAGGTGGGAGTTAGCTTAAGGCTAGTGGCAGGCAATTCTCTTAGGCAGATGCATGAGGAACATTGCTGTTCTGTGTGAAGAGGTATTTATCAGAAATACATTTTCAGATTATGAAAACATGTTAAAAATGGCAAAAATTGTCATATACATACCTTCAGGAGTGTATGGGTTTGAAACTCTTCATACAATGCTTCAACTACTGCTTCCCATGGTAGTACAGAAATAGGTTAGTCAGTGAAGGAGTTAATCTGGAACTAGTAGCACATTAAAAAGTTTGATTGCCGTATTACCATTAAAAAGAAAATGGGACTCATTGATGGCAAAATTCTAATGGTTGTTGAAAAACTGATTTGGTAAATTTCATGATATCATGTTTTCATAAATCGGATATACAGCCATCTTCAATATCTCTCTTAATAGAATGTTTGTATAAAGGAATTCAATCTCCAAACTAGCACAATACACATTCTATCAAATCTTAGGTCACGGATTTCATTGGGAAGAAAAAATCTTTTATACTATACTCATACTGTCAGTTCATTATCATAAATTATTGCAAAAGTATTTAAAGTTTAGATATCATTTCTGCACAAAAATATTTAATAACTTGTTTGTTCTAGTTGTGATGCTAGGTATGTAGGACCTACCGCTAGATGACTTCAAACTCAAGCATGGGAACATGCAAATCTACTTAGTGACAAGTGAAGTAAATAAGAGCATATTATGTGCGTGTAATGAAGGTTTAAGCAGTGATTGTTTCAGAATTATGATATAATATAATGATGAAAGAAGTCTGTGCATCAAAGAGATTTCCTTAATCTCAAATTAATGAAGTAAGATTGCTCATGAAATTGTTATAGATTTTAGTTATAAAGAACTATTCTCAGTGTTTGGTTATTTATTCAATTAGAAGGATTTAGAGCTGGATGTTTGGCTTTATGTACACTAAAGAATGTTGAAATTTATTTGTTGCAGGCAGCAGTGAATTATTTGTACTGTATGTATACGTACATTAAGAGGTGTATATTTTATTCTGTTTACATTGTTAGCTTGTTTACAGATCCAGATCATTCTTTCTATATGTATAGATGTTTTTAGTTGAATGTATTATATTTCATTAACCAATGTTTTTACCAAATACAGTGAAATAAATGTTCAGCAATGTTTAATTTATCAATAACCATGAAATTTTGATTGTAAGGTATAAGAGGTGAGCCAGGAGAACCTGGAGCCTCAGGAAACCCTGGAGTACCTGGACAACCTGGATTAAATGGTATTCCTGGCCAAAAAGGTACTGTTAGATTAAGATATTAGATATTCTATTGAATAAAGTACATTGTATCTATAATTCCAGATAATTTGTTTATTCTGTATTTTGTAACATTTTTGTGAATTGTTATCCATAGAAAAAGTATTCATCTAGCATTCAGTGACCTTACATACTAAGTTTTGTAGAGGGTCTTTGTAAATTATTTTATATATATTACTTGAAATAGATCACATGTTACTAAGCCTTTTGCTCAATGTTATTAACAACTACTACAATGTGTGTTGTATCTAAAGTGGCCTGAAGAGCTGGTACTGGGCTAAAGGCCTCATAGAAACTGTGTATAGTAGATATAGTGTGGTCAACATATTATTACACACTCTTCTTTACTTTCACTCAGACTTTTTTATTAACGATAGAAAATTTTCATAAAAAGAATGAACTTTATTTACTAGGTAAAAACCTTAACTTTTTATATTGTTTTTAGATAAAATACTTTACTGTTTTTGTTAAACAAGAAATGAAGCTCAGCAGTTAGTGTGTGTTTTATTTTGCTACTTCAGAACGTGACTGAAATTCAGGAAAATAATAATGAGTTTTATGTATTTTTATTTATGATCTTTAACTGGCCTCTACTTTCTCTATTGCCAAAAAAATATTAAGTGGTTTAAAATAGATAAAAATATATCATTTGATGAATGTATCTTATATATATAATTCTCTAAATATTTTATGTTATACTTCTGTTAAACCTTTAATTCAAAAACAATTCTAAATATATTCATATCATAGTTTCTGACATTGTAAGTCAGTCTTCTTCAAAGATCTGTAGGTCTCTTTAAAGAAAATATATTATCAGTGTTAATTTGAAATATATTTTTTTATATTTAGTTATTGTGGATGAATGTATAACCTTATTTACTTCAGGAAAACAAGGAGAACCCGGGTATGCAGGATATAATGGTCGGTCAGGTCTACCAGGTTTCAGAGGGGAGCCAGGAGAACCTGGACCACAAGGACCAGTAGGTCCACCTGGAGATGCAGCACCATTGGGTCTGAAAGGTGATTATGGAGAACCTGGGCTTTTAGGTATGTTGGTATTTTAAAATTATATAAAATAGCATAACTTAAAGAATTTGTTCTGTAACTTTTAATAGAAAAACTAATAAAAGAGTAGCTTTTCAAAGAAACCTGAATTGTAGACAACTGTTAGATGATAGACATTTGTTGAGTGTTAATTATTGAAAAATAGACTAAATAATTTGAAGTTCCAATTGTTCAAAATGTACACCAATTTCACTTTTTTGTTTAGCATTCTATTATTGTTTCTAGTGGTAGATTGGAATACACCATTGTTGACTATGCATGTTTCTGCTTATTTTTTCATTGAAGTATATAAAATTAAGTTTTTCCTTTATTTACTCTATTACATTTCAAAATAATCATGTTTTTACCATGTACATGTTTTTGATATTTGAATCATTTTGTTAGGTCCCATTGGACGTTCAGGGTCTCCTGGCAAACCAGGAAGACCAGGGCCTAAGGGAGAACAAGGAGTCCCAGGAGAGAGCCTGGGCGCAGAGATTGGTCCAAAGGGAGTTGTGGGTGATCAAGGTTTTAGAGGTCCACATGGTACCCCAGGTCAGAAAGGACAGATGGGTGACATGGGAACTCCAGGTAATTGTTTTGTGAACGTATAATTTATTTTTTACTGAAACATTAATATTTTTACTTGTAATCGTGAGAAATATTAAATACTAGGGCAATGTTTCTTTTATTGTAAGTCCCCAGATGAGACAGCGGTAAGTCTTCGGATTTATAACTCTAAAATCAGGGGTTCAATCCCCCCTCAGTGGATACAGCAGATAGCCCAATGTAGCTTTGCTATAAGAAAACACACAATTTTTACTGTAATTTTCTTAGTTATGTATCAGTGTTACTATGTGCACATATCATTATTTTACAGTACCATTCTCAACAATTCTGTCTGCAAAGTTATCTAATTTTATTTCTAATAATGAGTTACTTTTTTGAAAATCCTGTGCATTAATAAATAGTTTTTGGTATTTATTCATTAGTATAAACTGTAACAATTTTATTAAAAAAATCACCAGGATAAGTATACTCTGAACAATTAGCATAGTAATCAAATGTGCTTGAGGAACATTAAATATTTTTTATGAAGAACGATCTTTGTATCAGAAGTAGGTTTATATAGATATATGCTTATTATGGCTATTTATATGGCTTTTCTTACACAGGAGAACACTGATTACTAATGAAAAATTACCATGTACAGAGAATTAGTTAAAAATTTAATTTTAATTTTATTAATTGTTTTATCTCAGTTAGCTATTAAGATTGGTAACTATGCTCCAGGATTTGAAGAACACTTACAAAAGTTATTGAATCATTCTGTATTAAATATGGTACCATACAAATATTAATTTAAAATTAACTGCATATTTGTTTTTGGGTTTTGCTACTCCTATATAGAATATGTTTAGAAATTATTAGGTTTGTTCCTGTTTATAAAATGGTGTAATGTTTTTAGGTGTATGAACCATTTTCTCTTAAACTCTCCTTTAACCTCATTTTACAGTTGATTGAGTGATTAAACATTAGTCATCTTTTCATGTTATTTTTAGTGCTTAAATGAACTATTGAGGTACTTGGTAAAAAATTGGACTGTACCTAAGACTAATGGATGTAACTGTCCCATTGATGTGCCCCACCTAATGACCTATCAAGCATCACTTGTTTACCAAACTGATACAAGTTAAAACTGTAGCCTTCAGATTGTTAACAGAGTATGACTGTTATTGCTTTAGCTGTTTAATAGAGTATTACTATTATGTTTAATGGAAATATCAAAATTTCTGATGCTGATAAACACTCTCAATTATTCTTTTTAGGGTTTGAAGGACTTAAGGGAGATAAGGGATTTGAAGGCTTCCCAGGATTTCCAGGACGTGATGGGTTACCTGGACGTCCTGGTCCTAAAGGAAGAAGCGGCTTATCAGGTTTTCTTGGCCTTCCAGGGACAAAGGTCAGAATAGTCATGCTGTTTATTCATCTTCCTTTATGTTTAATTTTTATGTAACACATTAAAAGTTCATAATATTTTATGTATTTCAACAAAAGTTTTATCTTTTTATTACATCTATAGACATTGGTGGTAAATATTGAACAATTTTTTTCATTGGAATTTTAATAGTTTTTAAGTATGACATTTATAGTACAATAACAGAATTCAGTTAAGTTTTCCTTCATGGGTTGCTGTTGTAATTTATATATTCACGAAATTTAAAGGTGAATAGTAAAGAAAAAGAAAAATCCTTTTTTAAGAGTAAACATTGGATGTAATTTATGTTCTATTTTACTTAAAAAATAATAAAGTACTTAGAAAATTAAGAGCAGTTTAACTTTATAATGGCCATTATGTACTTTTCAGGTGTCAAGTCCATATTTGCATATCAAACTTCAAAATTTAAATCAAATTAATAATTCTAACTCTGTTTAAATACTGTTTTACTCAAAAACAAATTAGAATATGTAATTTGTAATTTTTTTAATACATATATCTAGTATACTTCATATAGAAAGTACTTTGATGTTAAGCACAAAGCTACACAATGGACTATCTGGTATCGAAACCCAGTTTCTAGTGTTGTAAGTCCGCAGACATGCTGCTGTGCTACTGGGGGGTGGGGGCAATATAGAAAGTAAGAAACAAATGTTATAGTCTTAATTACTGTGAAACTATAAGGAGTCTCATCTGTAAACAATGCTTTTATCAATTTTTTGACAATTTTTCTGCCCTTCCAAAGGTACCAGTTTGTGAGAATTTTACTGTGTTTTTTATGGATTTTATCCAGAAGTGGTTACTGCTGCAATTGGCAAAATAAAGTATTCAAATCAATACATTGATAAATATCAATGAAGTTGAAACCAAATAGATTATATAAAATGAAACTTTCTGATCAATAATAATAAAATTTGAATTGTAAGAGGAGTGGAGTAATTTTAATGGTTTTTGAAAAAAATGTCTCACAAAAAATAAATATTTGTAAATTTCATAATCTAAAAACTGATAGAAATACAAAATCAAATTAATGATTTTTCAAAGCTGAAACTAATACTATATAGTCTTAAAGTTTTGTTCTAACTTCCTTGCAATTTGGTTAAGTATTTCTACTGTGAGAAGAACAAAAAACCAGAAGATATGAGGAAAGGTCTGGAAAGGATTAAAACCTGTATTTTTATAAGTATGTTTTTTAAAAACTTAAATTTGAATGTTTACTTTTTTAAAACTTAAATGTGAAACATGATAACGTGAGTGTGCTAAGATGTTTTAAATACTTTTATTAAACATTTAATGACTGATTATACTATGGTATCATAAACATACTAATAATAATTCGATGACGAGGAACCCACTTTGAGACTAATAATGGCTGGAGACGGCTTAAATGGGTAATGAAGAAAAACTTTAATGCTGTCATGTT